CACACGAGGACCAAGCTTCTGGCACAAGAACACCAGGGGACAAACCACATCCAAACTTTAGAAGGCTGGCAGAAGTTTAAAGAAATACAAGTTCCAGGAAGGCAAAGACCTTTTTTGTCTTATTCATTGTTGTGTTCCGTTGCCCCCGTACCTGGTACATGCTCATGGTCTATAAATGTTTATGGAATGTCATCTGTATAAATGTTTCTGTGAGACTTCATTGAAGTAGTTGGTGCATGGAATTGACAGGGAATGCAAAAGGACAGCTACTTCGTAAGGCGCATCTCATGGTGGCCAGGGGCATTGGAAGACTAGAGTCCTTTGTATTAGAAATAATCACGTTGAGGATGACGTTATGTTGAGGAGAGGAGCAAGGTGTGTGATAAGGAAGGTGGAAGACAAGAGAAGAAGCTTCTGAGATATCAAAGAAATGTATACCTGATGCTGTCGAATATATGACCATCCCCATTCTGTGACACTTACACAGACTCACAGTACCATAGGGAGGCTCCATAAATATTGGAAAGGCTCATTTAACTGAGATCTCTTGTGACTTGGGAATTCTATGATTTAAATGCATTTGAAACTGAAGGCAGGGGTGATTTTCAAGATCATTCTGACCTAAACTCCTGAGATATAAAATTAAAGTGGAGATTGCTAATGATAGTCTTCTCAGAGCTTCTCTGGGCCACTCTTAAATGTTCCCTGAAGCAGAAAATGATTTCTAGGGGGAAAATGTGAATCAGTCCATTTTGAAATTCTGTAAAATGTGGATGATGACAGCTCCCCATCTGTGCATGTCTTTCTTTGTGCCAATTTTCCCCTTTTTATAAGGACACTCGTTATGTTGGATCAGGGTCCATCCTAATAATCCATCTTGACTACATCTGACCTTATTTGGAAATAAGGTCACGTTCTGGGGTGCGGGAGGTTAGGACTTCAACATAACTTATTTTGGAAGGGGGCACTGTTCAATCCACGTGCAGGAGAAAGTGAGGGCCAGGGTAGGGCACAGGGAGTAAATGAGAGCTCTGTACTTCCTGTTTAGTTTTTCACTGCTCTAGGAAATGAAGTCTATCAATCAAAAATTTAAAAGATTTAAAAAATGGTCCATCCCATAACACATACTCAGATAGTATACACTCAGTGAGTGTTAGTTACTTTTGGAGGCCGTGTTAACTTACTCAGTGTCCCTAATACAAATTTTACTCTTGATGTTCTAAGGCCAATATTGGCAATATCCCCAAACCCCAAGGACCACCCCAAGACCCACATATATCTACAGGGGGTCACAATCCCATAAAGGAGTAAACAACTTTTGTGACTCTAAAACATCATAGAGTATTTCTTGGTTTAAAGACACCTTATCTGAAACTGAATTAAAATTTTTAAAGAAAGGAATTGAGTTAGATAAATAAATAAGTACACTTTAATTCTCAACACAGGGAGGAAGTTGGAGAAAAAAAAGAAGTATCAGAGAAAGAAAAGCAAACAAAACATAAACAAATAGCATAAGAAATACTAATAAAAATTCTTTTTTTTTTGGTACCAGGGATTGAGCCCAGGGATGCTTAACCACTGAGCCACATCCCCAACCCTATTATTATTATTATTATTATTATTATTATTATTAGAGACAGGGTCTCACTAAGTTGCTGAGGCTGGCTTCGAACCTGTGATCCTCCTGCCTCAGCCTCCCTAGCTGCTGGGATTACAGGCATGCACCACCACACCCAGCAATATTCTACTCTTGAAAAAAAGGAGAGAAGGAAAGAGAAGAGACAAAGATTCAGGAGGCCCTCAGGGCTGGCCAAATATGCAGGGACACACTTCTTGTCACATCTTGCCATTCACCTGGACCACAAGCTTTTGTGGAATCTTTACCAAAAGGCAGGACAGTGTGCTAAGTGATTTGAAATCTGTAACAGTGACCCATCACTTAATTACCATAAGAGTGTCCTGTTTAAAGAAAATCCAGTACATGAGAAACCACACTGGAGACACAGATAACATTGGTGGGCAATGGTTTATCTGCCTTTGTAAAGGTTTTTTGTTTGTTTGTTTTGTTTCTTTTCCTGTTTTCCCTTTATAAAGAGAGTCACATCAGAGGTCTTTCAATAACATAACTACAACTGTCCCCACACACAAATTTTGATTTTTGTAAAATTTTTCAAGAAGTCCCCTGTCGCATATGTCGATGGATACCTCCTCGGGCCTGCCTTTTTCTTTCCTGCTGCCTGTCTGTTTGGGATGCCCGAGAGCTTCGTGGTTTTCAGAGTCTCTCTGGGTTGACATTTCTTCACTTCACTGCTTGAGAGTTTTTGTTTCCTAACCAATGTGGCTGGAAAGAATTCAACACTGACTGGGGGCAGGGGAGGAAATGAGGGATTACCGGCTGGGGACAAGGAAGCTGCTGCTCCCAAAAGAGAAGAGAAAATTTTTTAAAATCACAATTCCACCCAGACATGGCTCCTTGTACACAGGGATAGTACAAGAGACCTTCAGAGGAGCTCTGGGAGGTAGAGTGTGTGGCTGAAGGGAGACCTCCAGCCCCATCCCTGGAGACCCACCAAGATCAATCTTCATATACATCCACCTTCTGTCCCTCGTACTGCACACACACACACACACACACATACACCCCAGCCAAGAGTCACACCACACGGTGCACAGATGTGTTTTTGCTCTGTCTTCTCCCTCACTTGCAGCCACCCAATATCCACTAAGCAGAAGCCAGAAAGGCTCTGGTCTGAAGCACTGCAGGCAACACCAGCTCCTTCTCTCTTTTTCTCTCCCTTCTCAGTGCCCTCACCTCACTCTGAGCTGCATTCCAACCATAGGGAGCTTTTCTGTGGTTGGAAAAGAACAATAAGTGCCCAAGGATTCACTAAAAGGTGAGGAGTAGGAGGAGAGAATGGGTACAAGAAAAGGAACTCACAGAGGTAGAGAACCAGCAAGGATGGTCCCCAAAGTGACCACAAGATGCTGGTCAGTTGCACTTGCCTTTGAGTTCTGCAGGATATTACCCACCTCTGCAAATCAAGTGCATCGGGGCCTCCTGGGATAGCCTGTTTCTTAGCACCTCCAAAAGAGGTACAGGTGGAGCCCTGCAGGAGGCAGGATACTCTCCAATCTACCTGGATAATTCAAGAAAAGTAAAATAGTTTGCTGTCAACAGACTTTTCCTCCCATTTCTGTTTGCTGTCGTTATCATTATTCAGGAGGCTATTTTGAGGGTAACAAAAGACTATTGAAAGAAGAAAAGAGACAACCCACTCCCTCACTGGACCCAGCCAGCATTTGTACCCAAAATTTTGTCCCCACCATCCACACAGCTGCCTCACACATCAGCACTGTGGTTGGAACAGGAGCTCACGCCAGGAGAGAAAGACTCTCAGACAACCTTGTAGAGGACTTCAAGTCGTTTTTTTTTTATTCTAATAATTATGGGGAGATCAGACCCAAAAGTGTAGAGAAATGTATTTATGGTTGATGAAAAAAAAAACTGGTTGTCTTCTTCAACACCAGCCAGTCTTAGGAAGTCCTCTTGGTCAGAGTGAAACAGAAAAACAGATTTCCAACTTTAAAACCCCCAATAATTTGAATTCCTAAATATTTCTGATGCAACTTAAATAATACCCTTGAGGATAAGAAAAGTATATATGTGGGGGGTAATCAAACATTGTATGTTTTTGTTGTTGTTGTTGTTTGAGAGTTGGGTTTTTTTTTTTTTTTGGCTGAGATTTTATTTCTGTTTTTGTGGGGATTTTTTAAGAGAGGAAAAAAATACATCTTGAAGAGAAAAGAATTTGACACTTTATTTAAGAAAGTTTCTGCAACTTGGCTTCAAAACCTAAGTTTTGCTTTTAAGGATGCCATCAGGTGATGGCTTGGGGCTTTCACAGCGCCTGATTTTCTTACACAGGGCAAATGGCTCATCTTGTGTGCACAGAAGGGGCTGGAAAATATTTTTTTGTGATCAGAGTGCAGCAGAGAGCCTAGGATTCCAGAGGAAGTGGAGACCTCCCGCTCCACACAGGAAACGATCTCGAAGCAGGCTTTAAATGCCAGATTCCAGGCTGAGTTTAACTAACCAGTGACAGCTCTGTAAACAAAGCAAGAACAAAAAGAGCCCGCTTCCCCTTTCCTGGTAGTCATTTTGGGTTTGGGGGCTGCAGGGGAATTCTGGAAGGCTTGACTCCATGGCACAGAAACACAGGGGAAGCGGGCTCCTTATTTGAAGAGCTTTGGGAAAAGAACATCTTTCTGGACTTAAAATCATCACGGAGGAGGTAGGAAAGGGTAAAATGGTTGGATTCCATCTGTAAAAAGAGCCGGGATTTTTGAGCTCTAAAACCAGCTTGGTCACAATTTAACTGCTTTTAAAAACACTGCTTTGTGATGTTTATTTTCAGCAAAATTATTGCTGCAGACTTTATTCAAATCCTGATGCTAACACTTTGAGAATATGCAAATAATGCCTAGATCTATGCCGTACCATTCTATTTGTCTCTCACTTATCTTAGTTACTACATATTTATTTTCTTGCCACTTACACCCCCCAAACACACTTTTATGTGCACGCGCACACATGTGCACACACTCTTTTCTGTTTTTCTCTTTCTTTGTTCACTTTTCCACAACTTTTATCTGGGATTCAGCCAATTGCCAAGAACAAAAATCATTCAGTAGCTCTCAGATTATTCTACCATTATGTCAAGTCTTTAACACCTCTCTGTCTCCTCAGGTCTGTTATTATTGTCATTTTTAATGTGATCCTGGGATCTTACTTATTTGTTTCTAATAGTTTCAGAAATGAGAGTGGCTTTAACTCAGCTGGGGAGTCAGAAATTGATCACTAGCTATCCATTATCAGTCTTCTATGGTATTTTTCTTAGGAGGAAAGAAAAAAATGAAAAACTAGAGGGAGGGTTAAAGCCATGCCCGAGAGGTACTAGTTGGACTCATCCATGATACTGACTCTGCCTTCTTCCTTTTAGATCCAGACACCATCTGGTCTCCCTAAGACTGAAACCACACCATGGATGATTTTGAACGTCGCAGAGAACTCAGGAGGCAAAAGAGGGAGGAGATGCGGCTGGAAGCAGAAAGGTAGAGATCCAGGTGGACACAGCCTTGCACTTGATGATTCACACTGTTGGTTTCAGACCTCAGAGACTGTTCCCTCTGAAGGGACAAATGTGGCCATATTACATGCCAAACTGTTTGCAGAAGTAGCTGAGAGACATTTTCCCTAACTGTTAAGACTAAATTTTGCATTAAAAAAAAAAAGGAATGCAAGCAAGGATCAAGAAAAATCTTGGAGAAGAATCAAATAGTTGTGTTTAATCGGTGCTTTTCATGGGAGAACTTTGAATGACAGACTATATGTGAACAGTGGTTTTAAAAGTACTGATGATACTGAGATAATAGAAAAAAAATGCCAAATATTGAGTATTGGAAACATTTAGGAAATGGGATCTTTCGTCCAAAACAGTAGAGACAGAAAGCCCCAGGTGAATCTTGTGACAATTATTTTTTCTTATTAGAAAAGCATCCAAGTCAGGTATCTGTGTAGCAAAGGTTGACAGCCAGTGAACTGTATTACCATGGAGACTGTGGATGTGGTTGGAAGCAGTTAGTGCTGTACTGGTGACGTGAATGGCAGGTTGAGGGGATAAAGTATTTGCATATGACATACCAGGCATAGATGTCTATTTTAACATTTTAGGCCTCAGAGAAAAAGACAGTGGCATTTAATGTGGCTAAAATGAGATGTTCTTTTGGTAGTTCAGGCATTCACAGGAAGAAAACTGTTGAAACACTGCTCTTAATTTCAAACCAGTTTTGCTTCCCAATTGTCCCCAGTGCACAGATGAAAAGATGGTGGCAAGATGATCCCCTCATGATCCTGCAGTAGGAAATTGAACTTACACCTGTAGCAAAAAGTATTGAGGGCATGACTTATATAAAGAATGAAAAAGAAGATAAAATATCTGCCTTGGATTGACTTGGCCAGGGTTGGTTGCCATTCATGGAATGTCTGTGCACATACACATGGCACCATGGATGGTACCTGTGCGCTATAAGACCAAACCCTAGCTCTGCCACTTAGCCCGATTACCATGAGCTAATGACTTCTCTTTAAGCCATGGTTGCCTTTATTTATAAAATAGGCACTATATTTGTAGCTTGTATGGTTGACAGGAAGATTATTGAACTTCATAAGTGACTTTGCCCAGTACCTGGCAAATAGTGCCATGAATGATAGCTTTTGTTGTTATTATTACTAACCATTATTACTAGTGAAACAAGTAATAAACAACATAGTGATAGAGCTGGAAATAAATATTACTGCCAAGAGAAGGAAGGGTAGTCATTACCCTGGGACACAACTAGTCAGAAAAAGCTTTTTGGAAGTAGTAAGGAAGTGTTGGAGGAAATGTTGATGGTGATGAGGAGTGAAAGGAAGACTGTCTAGGAGAGGAATTGACACCACAAAAGCCCAGAGGGGAAATAAAAATCCTGGTACAATAAATCTGTCAGGTGCTGGAGGAACAGGGGTTGGTCTAGTACATCCTCAGTGTTTCTATTTCATGTTAAAGGAATAGAAAGAGACCTAACAAGGGAGTTATATGGGTTAAAGTGTGTTGGAAAAAATCATCTATAGTAGACTAGAATATGGAGATCGCTGCGCCAGTAGAGTTCATATTAAACTTAAGGTCATGGGGGACTGAATCCGGACAGTGACTATGGAAATGGAAAGAGGTCACAAATGAGAGGGACAATTGACAACTCTTTTATGAGAGGAGAAAACACAAAGACAATTCCAGAAGCTGTCAGCCCGAGGAGCTGAAAGGAAGGTTTCTCACTGTCCCATCTGGGGAAGCAGGGAAGGATTCCATTCTGGATGGTCTTGGGAATAGTGTTTAATTTCAGGTTAGCTACATCCAAATGGAGATATCCTCCCAGGCACTTGGAGATAGGGAATGCCAATCTTCATTTAGAAAGGAAGAGAAATTCTTATTAGAAAAATAAATCTGGGCAAACTTCATACGGTGGTGGTGGTGGTATAAAAGCTGAAGTGATATCCCAAGAAAGCAAGTATGCAAAGAGTGAAATGTCCTAAAGACATAATAGAAACCGTCAACAGAGACAGAAGATCAGGAAATGGGGGAGAAGCAGGCAGGGGATGAGGCCCCGTGGTGAGTGGACCTCAAGGCCGATAGGCAGTGTCTGGGCTGTGCTGTTTGGGCCTCAGGTTCTCCTGACAGTCTACAGAATATCCTGACCCAACCAATACTTATTAACCACCAATCAGGTTTCAGTGTCTGTTCTACGGATGTGGAAAATAATTCTGACATGGAAAGACATAGTTTTTATCTTCATGGATCTCAGGACATGCTAGGAAACCATGGGTCAGGCCAGAGCACAGGGGCCTGACAGAGTCAAGGCTGGTGGACTCAGGAAGGGGGACATGGCTATTAGGCACCGTGTTAGATCATCAGGTTGGTTTCTTCAGCTTCTTTGCTTTTCTACATCAATAGGGAGTGAGTGAATCATTGTGAGAGGAATGACAGAACCAACTTGCTGTGGTTAGAGCCAGGCTGTGATTAGAATGAATAAACCACATTTTTTCAGACTCAGGACTTTGCTGAAGAACTGACCACATAGCTACTCAATTGGTTTCTTCGGGTTTTATGTTTTTCATTTTGTTTTTTAAATTGTGTGTGTGTGTAAGGATTTGTCTTCTCTTGATGTCATTCTTAAATAAAGCTTAGTGTGGTACCCTTAATAACCTCAAATAAATTCACACAAATTTATCCTAACCTTTTTCACTTATATTTCTGTCTGCATTACTTCTTTTGGTGTATCATGTTCCATTTGTTTTCTTCTCTCTCTCTCTCCCTCCTCTTTATTTCTTTATAAGAGAGAGAGGTAAAGGACTTCCTTATATTTGTACTAAGTGTACCTTTCCATGTTTCAAGGTGGACCTTCAGTTCTGTTATTCTAGTAAGTCCATGTTCTCCTTCAGGCTTTTATAAAACCTGATCATTCGCAGGAGCAGCACAGGTCAGGCCTTGTGGTCCAGCCAACTTTAATGGGAAAGTGCAGGGTGTGTACAGGAAACAGATGGCCAGAACCAGAAAGCCAGGGTCGTCTAAAATCATGGTTCTGATTTAAAGACAAAGAGCAAGTGGGACCCTGGGCAAGTCCTCCTTCCTTTAGGTCTAGACCTTGGCTTCCTCCTGTCACACAAGTGGGTGTTTCCTCAAGGGAAGTGATGGTCAGGTTAAATTTTCTTTTGCTTTTAGGATTGTCTAAGTTTTTGTGATGATCTTATATTATTTTATTTTAAGACGAGTATACCATGACAGTTTTCCATACCACCCCCCCAAAATAATAATAATAATTCTGACTCTGTCAAGTATACCTAGTGCCAGACTGGAGAAGGCCTAACTTTTCTTTGGATATAGGGACCCAAAAGAAAGCACTTGTCCCAGATCTGGATGGCAGTGGAGTATATTAGCCAAAATTAGTGATTCCAAGACTCAGGTCCATGCATTCATTCGCAACACATTTTTATTGAGCATCTATTCTGCTCCAAGCTCTGAGTTCTGTGTTCGAGGCACTGAGAATAGACTAAGAGAATGACAGAAATGGAAAGAGCTTGCTTTTCAATCTAGAGAAAGCCAGGTAATGATCAAGAAACTATATTTTTATCACTTCAAATATAATGTGTACCCTGATATTGGTTCACACATTAAAGATGACTTCTACCTTTGCATGCTGCACCCCTGCATTCCTGTGGGGAAAGGGGGCCCTGCAGAGAAGAAAAAGTCCATTGACCTTCCTTGCCCACAGAGGCTTTTCTAATAAAATACCTTGTTGTTTTAATTTGTTGCCATTCAGTTTGCAGTGATAAATAAATTAAAGTTGTTCTCTCACTGGTTGTCATAACCACAAATTAAAATAGGCCAGATTCTTAGACATTTTATTCTTCAGAAATAGAGTTTTTAAATATCATTAAAAAAAAAAAAAAAAAACTAATTGCACACGTATACTTAGCATATGTGGGCTTTCATGTGCCTGGGGCTGGAATTCACTTACTGCACCACGGCTGCCCCAAGCTCTGTCTTGCACAGATCTCATTCTTAGGTTTGAGCCCAGTCCATTTTGAATGATCTAGCTTCCCAACAACCCAGACTGCAAACCTAGGTCACTGAAAATATGGTTCCCCTCTTAGTCTTGTCCCCCAGCCTGTGCAACTTTTATGCTGGTCACGATATCCTTGTTCTTGGCTTTCACACTGTAGGTTTTTGAGAAGAGGTCATTAGATTTGTTAAAAATATATATTTAATTCAGTTTTTAAATATATATATATATATATATATATATATGATATATTAAATATATAAATATGTATATATATTAAAGTGCAAGATCCTACACTGAACTATGGAGACCCATGGTCTCTAGTAGAGGCCAGATGTCAATAATCACAAAGCTCACCTCCTAGAGTCATCTTAACCCAAAGAGGAATAAAAATACTTCAGTACACAGAAGGAAATGTGCAGGTAATCAGTGAAAATCCATAATGCATTGTTCCTAGCAAAAGTCATTATTTGTACACATCTCATAAGAAACTATTTTTCCATCAATTACCTGTTAGAATGAATGAATGGATAAATAAAATTTTAGTTTTGCTACGTTTGTTCTACATTAGTCTTATAAGAATAAAAACTTACATAGATCTATTCTTCTTTCCTTTCTGTTTCTCTTTTCTCTCAATCCCCCTTGCTCTCTGCCTCCATCTCCATATTCCTCAGTGCACCCTTTTGTAATTTCCTGAGGTCTCTGTGCATCTTCACCGACACTCGGTTCTTTGGTCTCTCTCTCTCTTCCTATATATACTCCTGAACCATCTATGCATGCACACGTGTTTGTGTCATCAGAGAATACATACATATAGTGGGAAGGAAAGGGAAGACATTTTCCAAGGGGTCATCTAGCTCTCTTTCCATTCAACAAGTACAAAAAAGTGCTAGGCCTTTTATATGCATCTAGTAAATATGGACCAGCAATGGCACCAGCAATACATATGTCAGAAT